TCCTTCTTCTTCCTTCCATTCATCTCTTTATTCATGTTTATCGTCTCTTCCCTCTTCTTTCGTTTTTATTCTCTTCCTCTTCCCGTTCGCATCATTCTCTTCCGTCTCCCCTTAACCTTCATTCCCTCTTATTCTCCTCTGTGTATTCCTTCTTTCCGTCTCGTTTTCCTTCCAATGTTTTTTCTCTTCTCATACGGCTATACCACCTCCGTCTTTTACCCCCCAATACTCCCCTCCCCTACCCCCCTCAACACTCCCCCCCTCCTTCCTCCCCTCAACACTCCCCTCTCCTCCCCCCCCGCAACACTCCCCTCTCCTCCCCCCCCTCAACACTCCCTTCTCCTTCCCTCCCTCAACACTCCCCTCTCCTCCCCCCTCCCTCAACACTCCCCTCTCCTCCCCCCCCCCCCTCAACACTCCCCTCTCCTCCCCCCCCCTTCCTTAGACCGTCACACCTCCCCGAGTATCCTGCGAACAGACCGTAGAAGTGAACAAAATGCTATGCGTCAGATATGCATAGTACGTAATGTGTTACTTGCGTAGAATGATGCAAAAGAGGAGACGCACATAGATGGTTTTCACTCTCGGTTTTGCAATTGCTATTCGACCGGATTCTTGCTGGTATTTCGTTGCTGAGTTGATTGCAATTCCCTCAAGTGGCATTGGTTAGATAAACACATCCTTAATGATACGGAGAGATTCTACAGAACAAGTATATTAGAATAGACGATGTATTTATCAATTTTCTTAGAATTAACAAAAAAAAGGAAAAAAAATCAACATCAATTTTTTCATCTTTTCATTTGCAACGGAGGATTACTTCCGAGTTTGAATATTGACGGAGCTTAATCTTCGCAACGGCGCGCTCGAAGTACAAGGCAGGTGGCGTATGTAGGTTAGGAGAACAAGTGGCTGCGCACAACTTTCTGTCTCGAGCTGTGTTGGTCTCTCTTTCTCTTTCTCTTTCTCTGTATCTTTCTCCTTTTTTTGCTTTTCTTTTTCCTTTTTCGGCTTTTCTTTGTTTGGCTTTCAATGGCTTTTGTTTCGTTGGGTGTCCGTGTCTTTCTTTCTGTAACTGTGTTTGTCTCTTTCTCTCCCTTTCTTTTTGTCTTTCTTTCTTTCTTCTCTCTCTCTCTCTCTCTACATATATATATATATATATATATATATATATATATATATATATATATATATATATATATATATATATATATATATGTATATATATATACATATATATAAATATATATATAGATAAATACATATATAAATATATATATATATATATATATATATATATATATATATATATATATATATATATGTGTGTGTGTGTGTGTGTGTGTGTGTGTGTGTGTGTGTATGTATATATACACATCTCCCTCCCCTCTCTCTCTCTCTCTCTCTCTCTCTCTCTCTCTCTCTCTCTCTCTCTCTCTCTCTCTCTCTCTCTCTCTCTCTCTCTCTCTCTCTCTCTCTCTCTCTCTCTCTCTCTCTCTCCCTCCCTCATTAGAACCACACAGCACACCACACATGAGGGAATCTAACATCACTTTCTCTCCCTCTGCTGGCACAGTGTCAATATAGGCGATCATTACGTTTTTGTTTTTTTTTTTAACAGTCACTTTGAAACAAAAGCCTCGTGTTTATCCTGTTCAAGGCTCCGCATGAACTTCCTGTTAGTCTTTTATTACAGGTAAACTTGATTGAGAATAATGTCTTGGGTTTGTTTTATGCTTGTTAGTTCATAGGGATGTACGCGCAATTATGAACGGATGTATATTTATGTGTGTGTGCATACCTACATACATGCGTACATACATGCATACTTAAACTGATACATTCATGCGTACATACATACATGCGTACATACATACATACATACATACATACATACATACATACATACATACATACATACATACATACGTACATACATACATACCATACACACACACACACACACACACACACACACACACACACACACACACACAAATGTATATGTATATGTATATATAAATGTATATGGAGCGAGAGAGAAAGTTATTTCTCACTGTGGAAATGAGATTTGAGAACTCAGGAGCTGTTTGTCACGTGATTTAGCCATTTTAGTCAACTCATTTTTTATTCTAAATTCTGCATTCTTATCATTGGACATTCAATCTGGGTCACAAAAAAAGGTTTTGTTCTTTGAAAAGAGACAATGAGTAATTGTCTGATTGAGAAGTAAGCCATGTTTCGGTCTGAATTATTTGTGCATTATATAACCCAAAATAGCTATTTTACTTAATGCCTTTTATCTCTTAATTACAAATACCTTCTCTTTTTTATCTCATTGAATTAAAAATTAACGAAAAAAGGCGAAAAGAATAAGAAAATGAAAAAAAATGAAAGGAAAAATAAACGTCTTGCGACGAAAGCGTCCGTAATCCAGTGTCCAGTCAGGGAGGGGGAGGGGAGCGGAGTGGCACCTTGCACAGCCAGGAACAGAGAGCCACGTCAGGGTGCCACCGAAGGAGACGTGTGCGCGTCCGGCGGTGGCACTGCGTCGACGTGAGTGGACGGAACTCTCCGAAATTCGTTCACTAGGATTCGAATATTCATTGAGATCCATTCAGTGAGATTCGTTCATTAAGATTCGATTATTCACTGAGATTAGTTAATTAAGAGTCGAATATTCACTGAGATTCGTTCACCAAGATTCGAATATTCATTGAGATTCGTTCACTGAGATTCGTTCACTAAGATTCGAATATTCACTGAGATTTGTTCACTATGCTTCGTTTAGTGTTTACGAGGTCACGGGGTGGAGTTCTAACTATATGGAGAGTACTTCGAGTGGCACCATGATACGTAAGCACTATGCGCATCAGATATGTTGTTTGATGGGACTTTTGAGTTTGATTCACGATGGCACTATACTCTGAGTGACAAGAGGATGACTTCACTACACGCATGGTGATAAAGGGAAAAAACGTGTTTGATTTTTTTTTTAGCCAGTCTACTTAAAAGTGATTATGTGAAACACCTGTTGTTTACTTGCGACATGAGCGGTGACGAAAACACGGGCTCCATAGTAATTTCATGTACCCGCATGTAAAAAAAAAGAAAAAAAAAAAGAAAAAAAAGAAAGAAAAGAAAATATACATACATATACCTAATTATGAGAAAATTCTTTATATGCACGGAATCCGAAAGGGTTCTCTGAGCTCAACTTGGCGGTTACCTTGACAATCCTAACTCCCCCCCCCCCTCCCTCCCCATGCAACCTTGACCCTTCCGCACCTACTTGGGTTTTTTCTTCTTTTTCTTTCGCTTCTTTTTTACTTTTTGACTCCCTTTTTCTCTCTTCTCCTTCGTCTCATTCGATGCGTGGTGATTTTTTTCTCATTATTTGGTATGTGTTGTATACTTTTTATCAATTCACTTTTATGATTTAACGCTTCATTTGCCTCTCTTTCTCTTGCTCTCTCTGTCTGTCTGTCTGTCTCTCTCTCTCTCTCTCTCTCTCTCTCTCTCTCTCTCCCTCTCTCTCTCTCTCTCTCTCTCTCTCTCTCTCTCTCTCTCTCTCTCTCTCTCTCTCTCTCTCTCTCTCTCTCTCTCTCTCTCTCTCTCTCCGTTTTCCTTTCTCCTTCGCTCCCGCCCGAGTTTTCCATCGAAACCCATCGCTTCTCCCTTCATTGCTCTAGAAAAAATAATAAATAAAAAGGAAAAGAAAGAAAAAAACACGACCATTTTGTCAGCAAAGGTTCCTCGCGTGTGATGACGTAATCCGCATCTCGTTGCCAAGTGTTTGTTTTTCCGCGTGATTTATTTCCTTGATGACGTTACTACAGCTGACTTTTTTTGGGTTGAGTCGAATGTACTTCTTGTTTCCGTTGTAGTGAGGGATGAAGTTACGATGCCATGAAAATCTGTACGAGATGGGAGGTTTTGATGGGAGGTGCTAGTAGTCGCTGGTTCCTTGGATTCAAAGGTTACGAGATATGATGAAATACTGAAAGGGGGTGTAGGTGAGCCTCATGCTTTTCTGTCTTTCTTTCTCTCGCTCACTTCCTCTCTCTCTCTCTCTCTCTCTCTCTCTCTCTCTCTCTCTCTCTCTCTCTCTCTCTCTCTCTCTCTCTCTCTCTCTCTCTCTCTCTCTCTCTCTCACTCTCTCTCTCCCGAAATACATTAAATCCTGAACTGAAACATTGTGATCACAGATTAACAGAAGAATGCATTGATCAAGCAAATTGTTATAAAAAAAAAATCTCTCCTCCACAGCATTGTGATATCGAATCGAAAAATAAATGAATCTAGCAAATGAACAATTGAAAAACATCGGACCTTAACCGCAGCATTGTGGTCACTGATTATCAATTCAGCCAAAGAATACAGTCACCAATTGAAATGAGACCTTAAGAACCTCAGCCTTTAAGTATTCTCTCCCGCATCAATTGTGATCCCAAATTAACGAATTAACTATAAAATATCTTAGCCAAGTAAATCGATGTTTTTTTTTATGGCTCGTAACATTGTGATCCCAAATTAACATATTAGTCAAGCAAATTAACATTTTAAGAACCTCAATCCCTAATCATTCTGTTTTTTCTCAGTCCTTAATCATTATTTTTTTCTTCTTACTGCAGCACTGTAATCACTAATCAACGAATGAACAGAAAATAAAACAGCTTAATGAACATTTGCTTTTTTCCTTTCTTCTGCAGCATTGTGATCCCAAATCAACATATAAGTCAAGCAAATTAACATTTTATGAACCTAACCATTTTCTTTTCTCTCTCTCTCTCAAGCAAATCAACATTTTAAGAACCACAGTCATTAACCATTATTTTTTTCCTTTCTCCTGCAGCATTGTGATCCCAAATCAACATATAAGTCAAGCAAATTAACATTTTATGAACCTAACCATTTTCTTTTCTCTCTCTCTCTCAAGCAAATCAACATTTTAAGAACCACAGTCATTAACCATTATCTTTTTTTCCTTTCTCCTGCAGCATTGTGATCACGGTCCCGAGAAAGGGTGAGCAGGATGCGAGGTTGGTTCGACGCCTTCCGCTCCGATGGCGGCCCCACACTCTACGCCTACAGTAACCGAACGAGTGTCACCGCAGATGTCCCTACCATCACCATCATTCTGCTCTTCCTCACTGTCTTCTTGGCCTTCGTCACTATCTTCCCCGGAGTCAGGAAAGAGGTCAGGAGAATCGGATTTGTTGGGGGGTGGGGGGGTATTTTGGTAAGGGGGGGAGGAGGAAAGGGGGAGGTTGGTGTGTTTTTTTTTTTTTTTTTTGGGGGAGGGGGGGAGAATGTTATGGTGGGGTGTTAATAGGGATGATATTTTTGGTTTTTATTTCTATTTTTCTTTATTTGACTGTTTCACTCTTACTTTATCCATTATTTGCATCTCTATTGATCTATTTCTCTCTTATCCCCGGCTCTCTATATCTTTCTCTTTTCTTTCATCTCTTATTCCCCCGTTCTTCCAAATACACACACCTCGTTCATTGCGTGTTCTACCTGTTCACTTCAATAGGTTTCTTCTGATGAACTTTCTCCTCCAGAAGCCGAAGTGAAATGCTATATAATTGATGGTCATGAGGCTCTCATAAAAATATATTCCTCCTGTAGGCCTACGGAAGATGCCCTGCAGTAGCGAGAGGAGGCCTAATTGTCCCAGATTCGTCTCCCCTCGTAACCCCCCCCCTAGTCCTCTATCTCTTCCCTCACTTTCATTTCCTAAAGTGTAATATTCATCTGTTTATATTCGTTTGCGTGAATTTATCTATTCAATGATCGCATTAGTTTCCCCTCTTTTTCAATTTTAACGAGTAATTTTATTTATATCTATATTTTTCATCAACATATTCGTATTCGCCTTGCGTCGGTTTGCTCTTGGCGAATCTCTTGTCAGCATCCATAGCGTATCGAGACCTTTCCAATACTTATAATGAATCGTACAAACCAGCATCAGTTAGGTCATCCTTCCCACGCCTTGTCTCCAGCCCATCTCTTGTCTCGTTATTTCAGCTTTCTTATTACTGATGCCACATTTCACCCCCTGAAGGTAATGCTGGTTACCTTCTCCCTTTCCCTCTCGCTGTCTTTTTCTTCGTCTGTTCCCTTCTTTCGGTTTCTTTTTCTTCTTTTGGTTCTTTGTTGGTTTGGTTTTCCTTCTTCTGGTGGTGGTGGTGTTTGTTTTTTGTCTCTCTCTTTCTCTGTTTCTTTTTTTTTTCTTTTTCTTTTTCTGTGTCCGTCTCTACTCTTTCTCTTTGCCTCTTTTTTATTTCTTTTTAGCTATTTTCTTTTGATGCCTTTTTCTCCCTTCTTTTTTTCCTTCTCTTTTTTGCCACTTCATTCTTATATTTTGCCATCCCCCCTCTTTTTTATCCCCCTCCCCTCCCTCCCTCTCCCATCCCTCTACTTTTGCAAACTTAACGTCACCATTTCATTATTTTTTTCTTCTTGTCTACATTCTTCTACGTCTTCTGGGTTTTTGTTATATAGTTATTGTCTTCTGCTTGTCATCTTGTTTTATTGTTCTCATATCTTCCTTTCTATTTTCAATTTCTTTCGTTTCTTCTTGTAGGAATATATATTTTTATTTTTATTTTCTTTCTTTCACTTATGATGATTGATGTAGGTATAAATGATTTTGCAAGTAACATACATACATGTAACATTTACTTACACATAAGATTTTTATCTTTATGTGTATATACCTAAAAGAATGTCTATTTTTATTTTTATGTGTATATACCTAAAAGAATATCTATTGCATACCCTCCTCTTGCACGTAAATTTTATTTTTTTTCCCTTGTTCTGTTGCAGAGGTTCTCCACATTCTGCACAATTACCCTCAGTCTTCTCACCGGCACAGTCATATGTGGTAAGTGTTATCTCTCGTGTTATCTTTTGTAAATGTTTCCTTACTTGTTTTACCTCGTTATCATTTGTTATCACACTCATTATCATCAGTAATCATACCTTCACCCAATCAAATCGTTAGGTATTTATTCATTTTTTTCTCTCTTTCGTTAATACAAACTTGAAAAGGTGAAAAATCTGTTTAAAAAAAAGGGGGGGGGGATGATCACGACCTAAACAGACGACCTCCCAAAGGCTGCCCACCCTCGATCTTCCCTTAAGGTCGTCGTGGGGAGCGTCTGCCTTTCCTCATGACCCTTTCACTACCTCCCTCGCCCCCCTTCCCCCTCCCTTCTCATCCCCCCACCTCTCTACGAAGAGCAATGAAACTCACACAGAAATAGAACAGAATAGTTCTCCTTCTCCATCCTGCAACGCGTAGTCAAGAAGGGAAAAAAGGAAGGAAAAAAAATATTCCTCCTGTTCCTCCTTTTCCTTCTCCTCCTCTTCCCCCTATTCCTCTTCTTCCTCTTCCTCCTCCTCCTCCTCCTCCTCCTTCACCTCCTCCTCTTCCTCGTCCTCCTCCTCTTTCTCCTCCTTCTCCTCCTCCTCCACCTCTGCCTCCTTCTCTTTCTCCTTCTTCTCCTCCTCTTACTCCTCCTCCTCCTCCTCCTCCTCTTCCTCCTTCTCCTCCTCCTCTTCCTCGTCCTCCTCCTCTTACTCCTCTCCCTCCTTCCCTTCCTCCCCTTCCTTCCTCCTTCCCTTCCTCCCCTTCCTTCCTCCTTCCCTTCCTCCCCTTCCTTCCTCCCGCAATCATCTCCCTCCTGCTACCCCCCCCCCCCCCCCGAGAATAGTCAAGAAGCGAGTCCCCTATTACCCCCCCCCCCCCCCATCATGAATAATCATGACTCTCAAGTCAAACAAAAATATCATTGAGAGGAAGGACGCCAACTTTTGAAATATACCATCGCTATATTTTTTTCTTTCTTTCTTTCTTTCTTTCTTTCTTTTTTGTTTTGTTTTGTTTTTTAATTTCAGTTACATCATTTTCCTTATACCTATTATCTTTATATCGGTTCACTATCTTCTTCTTTTTATTTTCCATTCGTTCAACTTCAAATTTGCTTTGAAAGAAGCATCTCAAGGCGAAGAACGATAAACTTAATGGTGTCTATGCAACTCGGTCACCTTGCAAAGCCATATTGAAAGACTTAGACACCAAGGTTGTTGCAAGGAGAAGGTAGAGGAAGAGGAGGAAGGAATTAAAGTAGAAGAGGAGCGGGGAAGAAGAGTAAGAGGCGAAGGAAGAGAAAGAGAGGAAGAAGGAGGAGGAAAAAGAGGAGGAAGAGGAAGAGGAGGAGGAGGAGGAAGGAAGGGAACTAAGAATTGAAGGAAAAGGAGAAGCAGGATGAGAAAAAAGGGGAGGAAGAGGAAGAGGAGCAGCAGCAAAAAAGAGGAGGAGGGGGAGGAAAAGAAGACAAGGAGAAGGGAGAGAAAAAGAAAAGATAAGTTGAAGGTAGCGACTAAGAATAAGTAGAAAAAAGTGAAATTTAAAAAAACGGAAGAAGAATAGGAGATTACAAGGAATGAAAGAGAGAAAAAAAAAGATCCAACAGAAAACGAAGAAGAAGGAGGAAGACAAAAGAAGAGGAAGAGAGTTTGGAAGACTGAGAAGGGTGAAGGGTGAAGGAGAGGTCAAAGGGCGTGAAGGGAGGAAGGAAGCGACTTACTTCCGCGTGGATGTAGGTCGCTATGTACATGCGTCGTCGGGGGGGGGGGGGGGGGAGTGAGGAAGAAGGAAGGAAGAGGTGGGAGTGAGGGAGGAGGAAGGAAGAGAAGTGAGGGAGTGAGGGAGGAGGAAGGAAGAGAAAGTGAGGGAGTGAGGGAGGAAGAGGAGGGAGTGAGGAAGGAGAAGGAAGAGGAAGTGAGGGAGTGAGGGAGGAGGAAGGAAGAGGAAGTGAGGGAGTGAGGGAGGAGGAAGGAAGAGGAAGTGAGGGAGTGAGGAAGGAGGAAGGAAGAGGAGGGAGTGAAAAAGGATGGATAAGTAAGTATGAGAGAAGGGGCAGTGAGGAAGGAAGGAAGGAGAGGGAGCAGTAAGTGAAGGAGGAGGAGGAGGGAATAAGGAAGGAAGGAGAGAGAGAGAAAGAAGAGTGTGAGTGAGAAGAGAAAGGAGGATGAAGGAGTAAGCAAGGAGGAGGGGGGGAGAGGGGGAAAAGGTGACGGAGGACGGCGAGGAAGAAGAGGGAAGAGGAAGGAGGGAGGGAGAGGGAGGAGGAGAAGGGGTAGGGGAGAGAAGGGGGAGGGGAGAAGGGGAGAAGAGGCCAAGGTCTGGGGAAGCGAGCGCCTGCCTTTAAGCGACCGGGGAAATGCCATTCGGAAAGAGAAGGGAAGCGAAAAGAAGAAAAATATAAACATAAAATAAAAATGGATAAAGAAAAAAAAAAGGAAGAGAGGAAGAAGAGGCAAGAGAGGAACGAAAGAAAATAAGTAAGGGGTAACGCAAGGAAATGAAGAGAAGAGTAAAGTAGAAGAGGAGCGGGGAAGAAGAGTAAGAGACGAAGGAAGAGAAAGAGAGGAAGAAGGAGGAGGAAAAAGAGGAGGAAGAGGAAGAGGAGGAGGAGGAGGAAGGAAGGGAACTAAGAATTGAAGGAAAAGGAGAAGCAGGATGAGAAAAAAGGGGAGGAAGAGGAAGAGGAGCAGCAGCAAAAAAGAGGAGGAGGAGGAGGAAAAGAAGACAAGGAGAAGGGAGAGAAAAAGAAAAGATAAGTTGAAGGTAGAGACTAAGAATAAGTAGAAAAAAAGTGAAATTTAAAAAAACGGAAGAAGAATAGGAGATTACAAGGAATGAAAGAGAGGAAAAAAAAAAGATCCAACAGAAAACGAAGAAGAAGGAGGAAGACAAAAGAAGAGGAAGAGAGTTTGGAAGACTGAGAAGGGTGAAGGGTGAAGGAGAGGTCAGAGGGCGTGAAGGGAGGAAGGAAGCGACTTACTTCCGCGTGGATGTAGGTCGCTATGTACATGCGTCGTCGGGGGGGGGGGGGGGGGAGTGAGGAAGAAGGAAGGAAGAGGTGGGAGTGAGGGAGGAGGAAGGAAGAGAAAGTGAGGGAGTGAGGGAGGAGGAAGGAAGAGAAAGTGAGGGAGTGAGGGAGGAAGAGGAGGGAGTGAGGAAGGAGAAGGAAGAGGAAGTGAGGAGTGAGGGAGGAGGAAGGAAGAGGAAGTGAGGGAGTGAGGGAGGAGGAAGGAAGAGGAAGTGAGGGAGTGAGGAAGGAGGAAGGAAGAGGAGGGAGTGAAAAAGGATGGATAAGTAAGTATGAGAGAAGGGGCAGTGAGGAAGGAAGGAAGGAGAGGGAGCAGTAAGTGAAGGAGGAGGAGGAGGGAATAAGGAAGGAAGGAGAGAGAGAAAGAAGAGTGTGAGTGAGAAGAGAATGAGAGAGAGAAGAGTGTGAGTGAGAAGAGAAAGGAGGATGAAGCAGTAAGCAAGGAGGAGGGGGAGAGGGGGAAAAGGTGACGGAGGACGGCGAGGAAGAAGAGGGAAGAGGAAGGAGGGAGGGAGAGGGAGGGGAGAAGGGGTAGGGGAGAGAAGGGGGAGGGGAGAAGGGGAGAAGAGGCCAAGGTCTGGGGAAGCGAGCGCCTGCCTTTAAGCGACCGGGGAAATGCCATTCGGAAAGAGAAGGGAAGCGAAAAGAAAGAAAAATATAAACATAAAATAAAAAATGGATAAAGAAAAAAAAAAAGGAAGAGAGGAAGGAAGAGGCAAGAGAGGAACGAAAGAAAATAAGTAGGGGGTAACGCAAGGAAATGAAGAGAAGAGGGAGGAGGGAGGAAGGAGGGGGGAGGGGGGGAAGGGGCGTGGAATTGCGGAAGGAGGCGGGGTTGACTCGCGTTTTGCAAGAGAGCAATCAGCAACAAGGTCAGCAGGGCCAGACGCCAGCTGTTCGAGGCGGCACCACTGACTTCCCCTCGGCGATGATTGAGTCAGGAATGCGACTGACTATTTCCTATTTAGATCGTCTATCCTTCGCCTTCTCTTTACTTTCTCTCCCTTTCCCTTTCTTCCAGTCTGACTATTTCCTCTTTGGATTACTTATCCTTCGCCTTCTTTAATTATTCTCTCTACTTTCATTCCCTTTCCTCTCACTTGACATGTAGCCTCCTCCTCTCTCTAATCCTTATCCCTATACCCACTTCCCCCTCCCTCCCCCCCCCTCTCTCTCTCTCTCTCTCTCTCTCTCTCTCTCTCTCTCTCTCTCTCTCTCTCTCTCTCTCTCTCTCTCTCTCTCTCTCTCTCTCTCTCTCTCTCTATCCCTCCCTCCCTTTCCATGCATCTATCTATCTCTGTATATCTATTTATCTCTGCATATCTCTCTCTCTCTCTCTCTCTCTCTCTCTCTCTCTCTCTCTCTCTCTCTCTCTCTCTCTCTCTCTCTCTCTCTCTCTCTCTCTCTCTCTCTCGTTCCACAACCTTTACTCTCGGTTCAATTAAGCGAGAAAGGCTATACTGGTCTTTACTGTTGTGTTGCAATAGCATCTGTCATGCTTCGTTATGATAGCCTTTGATAATGGCTTATGCTGGCTTATTGGAACAATTTAATAAATTTGATAAAGAGATCTTCAACAGTAAGAAGCATAATATAATAGTGATTCACTTTGTAATATTCTCAATACATTGCTAGAAGTACAGCAACGGGATATTAACAATACGACGAAAGAAATACAGTAACTCAATACAATACAATGATTGTAACGTAATTGACGTTGTCCGTGATACAATCAGGTGATAAAATACACTGAATGCGCGAGTGATTACACCAATAACAAGAAGGCATTTGAGTGTCAGTCGAACAGCCTCCTCCAGGTCTTGTAATCAGAGAAACACGCGGAAGTGAGTGAGTGCGGCGCGTGTGGAAGCGGAGGGGAAGGGGGAGGGGGAGGGGGGTGAGGTGGGTAGGCATGGTCACGCTGATTTAGGAAGTGGAGGCGTAAACAAGGGAGAGAGTGGGGGGGGGGGATGCTTGTACTTCC